CCTAGTTGTCAGGAAGCCGGTAGTTGGATAAGCCACCCCTGGCTGTAACCCAGGTTCGCTGGGACAGAACACCTGCCCCCGGGGCCTTCATTATCAGCCTCCTGCCTCCACGGCCCCTCCTCCTGTTTGACTTGTCCCACGGGTTTACGCTCTTTGCTTTGTAATAAGGACAGCATGGGCTTAAGAGTCTGATGGCCTGGAATTTTGACCTGAGTGAGTGTCATATTCTCCCTGCCTCCCCTTTTCCTATATATAGAAAGGACAATGAAAGCACCTGCCTTCGATGTTCACGTGAAAATGAAAGAAAAGAATGCCAGTGACGCATGGTTCAAAGATATCGTCATTGCAATCCTTTCCTTTTTGAAGAAATTGTGGTAAAACATACAGAACATAACATTTACCACCTTCGCCATTTTTAAGTGTGCAGTTCAGTGGTGAGTATGTTCACGTGGTTGTGGGGAACTCCGCCCTTGCAGATCCGCAGCTCTGCCCCGGAGACAGCAGCACCCCAGGCCCTGCTCCCTGCAGCCCGGCAGCCACATTCCACTTCTGCCTCCAGAACCTGCGACTCCAGGTGCCTCAGGGCAGCGCAGCTGCTCCGCGGGGGGTTTTGTGAGTGGCTGAGGTCACTGTGTCCTCAGGGCTCATCCACGTTGTGTCCGCAGTTCCTTCCTTTGGAAGGCTGAATAGCGTTCCAGGCGTCTAGAGCGCATTTTGCTCATCTGCTCGCCCACCCGGCCGCTGATGGCAAGTGGCCTTTGAGAGGCGCGCGGCCGGGCGCGTGGGTGCCCGTGGGCCCGCGTCCTCCCGCGTCCCGGGCCCGCTGCTGTGTTCCCGCTAGGCTGCGAGGAATTTCAAGTTTAGGGCGTCCCCACCCTCCGCAGGCAGTTTCTGTTTCAGGAGCTCAGGCGAGAGGTCAGATGGGCCTTAAACATCATCAGCCCCGGTCCTCGCAGCTCAAGTCCCTGACGGCGCGAGCGGCCCGCGCCTCACCTGGCACGCGGAGCCGGCAGCAGCCTTCCCTCGCGCCCTGTCACGCCCGCCGTGGCCTCGGCTCTTCCCACACGGGCCGCGACTGAAAGCAGTTCCCCCCGCCAGGGACTTCCTCCGCCCCGGGACAGACTTCTCAGCAAAGCGAAGAAACCGTCTCCCGCACATCATGCTTTTCGGTCGCGTATACCTTCGGCCAGGGTCCAGTCGACCCCCTTCTCTGACCGCTTCGTAATCGAAGCCTCCGCACCCCAGCAGAGCAGACGCTGCGGCCCCCGCACAGCCTCTTCCTTTCCGGTCACGCAGATCTGCCCTCCCTCAGCGCTGGAGGGTGGGGCGCGCCTCAGCCTGTTTCTTTAGCAAAAGGGGCCCTTTTCCCCTGCGCGCCTCCAGTCATGAATATTGGCCACAAGCATCAGACGCCGACCCGGGTCCCCATCCCCAGGGAGCCATTTCTACATCCGCGCCCATCCTGAGCCCGCGCTCTGCAGCCTCTGTGACCTGGCTGGGCTCACGTTTCCAGAACAGGCCTTTTCTGTGCACGGATGTGGCCCTTCCCACCGTGCGCTGGGCTATGGATATTTGTGTGCACCTGCCCCTCTGACTAGGTTGGGGGTTGGCAAACTGTCCCTGCAAAGGGTCAGGCAGTAAATATTTTCCGCTGTGAGGGCCGCCTGGTCTCTGTCACAGAGATGCTGCTCGGTCACTGGAGCAGGAAGCCACAGGCACTGTGTTAACCAACAGGCAGGGCCATGTTTCTCTCAAACTCTTTATTGTTATAGACACTGAAATTTGAATTCCATAAAATTTCCGTAGGTCATGAAATATATTCTCCTTATGATTGTTTTTCAATCATTTGAAAATGTAAAAACTATTCTTTGCTCACGGGCTGTACAAAAACAAGTGCTGGGCCCTCCCTGGCCAGGCTGTGGTTTGCTGGCCCCTGAGGGCCATTGTGAGCTGCCCAAAGGTGGGGCTGTGCTTGTATATCCTTTTGCACAGGCCTCGGGGTGCTATCGGGTACCGCTTATGGGCAGAGCTGCTGTGTAAAGCTGCCTCTTCTCCAATGACATGATTGTCTATGGAGAAAATCCCAAGAAATTTATTTAAAAACCCCCAAAACCAAGCTTTTCCTAAAACTAATAAGGGAATTTAACCACATGGTAGGTTTTAAGATCAGCACACAAAATAAATCACATTTCTACACACTAGCAATGACCACAAGAGTAATACTTAAGTGCAAATCTAACAAAACATATAGGACTCGTATGCTGAAAACTATAAGATGCGGATGAAAGAATTCAGAGAAGATCTAAATAGATTCACAGATTGGAAGGCTCAGCATAGGGAAGATGTCCATTCCCATCANTCTAAACAGATTCACAGATTGGAAGGCTCAGCATAGGGAAGATGTCCATTCCCATCACAATCCCAGCAAGGCTTTTTGTAGACAGGCATGTGTTTTTTTGTTTTATTTGTTGTTGTTTTGTAAAACTTATACAAATAGGCCCAGGCTCTAAAATGTCTAATCTTGAAAAAGAGGTGGGAGCAATCTCTCTACTGGGTTTGGGTGACAGTGTTGAAGACCGTGTGGTGTTGGAGGGCAGAAGCACAGGTCAGTGGAGCAGAAAAGAGAGCCCAAGATGTCAAACGTAAAACCATAAAACATTTAGAAAAAGACATAGGAGAAAATTTGGGGAACATCGGACTTGGTGAAAAAGTTAGACTCAAAAGTGTAATTGATAAAAGGAAAAACTGATAAGTAGGACTTCATTGAAATTAAAAACTTTGGTCTATGAGACTGTTAAGAGGATAAATAAGGTAACGGAAGAAAATATTTGCAAACCACTGATCTGACAAAGGACTGATATCTAGCCTATAAAAGGAACCCTCAAAACTTAAGAGCAAATAAACCAAACGATTCAATTTGAATACAGGCAAAATACATCCAAGACACCCGGGACGGCAAATGAGCACTCGAGATGTGCGACACCATTGCTATGAGGCAAAGGCAAATTAAGATTCAACAGGAGATCACTACATACTTAGAACAGCTGAAACAGAAACAATGGCAACATGAGAGGCTAGCAAGGCTGTGGAGAAAATCTCATACGTCCCTGGTGGGAATGTAAAACGGTACAGCCGCTCTGCAAAGTGATTTGGCACTTTCTTAAAAACCTAAATATACAGACCATAGACTCGACAACCAAACTTCTTGTTGTTTCCCAGAGAAATGAAAACTTATGTCTACTCAAAAAACCTGGACATGATTCTTCATAGCAGCTTTATTTGTAATAGCCTCAAACTGGAAACCCCCAACCTGTCCTGCTATCCGTGAATGGCTACAGTTCATCCTCAGCAAGAAAAGAGGGAACTATGGATACATCTAACGACTTGGATGGACCTGAAGGGCATTATGCTGAGTGGAAAAAAGCCAGTATCCAAATGTGATCTACTGTATGGTTCCCTGTACATAACCTGTCAAAAGTAGAGCTGGGGGACAGTTTGGTGAATGGGAGGGGTTGGGGGGCTAGGGAAGGACTGGGGGAGGCAGGAGGGAGGTCTTCCTGGGTTCTACCTTGATTTTGGTGGTGGTTCCAGGAATCTCCACTTGGGATAAAATGACACAGACACCCCTCACC